CCACAGTCCTAGGAGGACAGTGGAGGAGAAGGGATTGTGGTGTGGGGATGATTTCTCATTTTCCCTCTCACTTGTCCCTTTGTTTCTCTGATAAGTCCACTTGCCCTATAGACTCCATGATATCCGGTGATCAGATCAGACTTTAGATCATTTGGAAAAAATATGTACATTAGATCAAATCAAAATAGTTACTTTAGTAGCAACTATCAAGAACTTAAAAAATAAAACTCTATATATTCAAAACTTAAATCATATGTAGTGTTTTTAACTTTAATGAGCATAAAGTTCTTTTTACTTCAATATATTGGATTCTAACCCTATACAAATCATTGTAGAATATAAAAAGATGAAGACACAAATAAGGGAGTGATAAAAGATTAGGGGAAAACAGTACTAAATAAAAACATGTATCACTTTAGATTATAAGCAGTTGCATGCCAGCATGCAATTACCAAATTAATCTAAAAAGATACCATAAAATAGTCACATCTTACTGCCCAAGTTCAAAACAATCTGTCCCTCTGGTGAGATCAATATACTCAATGCCATCACATATACAAGGGGGCTTCAAAAAGTTCATGGAAAACAGAATTAAGGAATTAAAAGACAAAAATACAGACCAGCAGATGGTGTAGCAGTCACATCACTGGAGTAGCATATGGTCAATTGCGGTTTGAGTCCTGGACCTGGTGGCTTGAAAATCATGCTGGGTGCATGTATATGCATGCCCAAGATCTCAGGAGGAGAAAGGAGAAGGAACTGCAGCATGGCCATCCCCCCTGAGGAGTGATCTCTCATTTTCCCTCTCACTGTTACTATCTGTTTCTCTCTCTGAAGATAAAAATAAAAAATATAAATTTTCTTTCTCGACTCAAGCCCCATCAAGTTCAATACACTTTTGTAAGCAACTGTAACAGCCACTGAGTCCATTCATAAAAAACTGAGGAATTTAATGGTGTCAAGGAAGTCTGGTTCACACTATGAAATGAAAAAAAAAAATGAAGCCCTTTGAAGCTTAAGTTTAAGAAACAAGAAGAAGTCAGATGGGTGGCCAGCAGGTGGCGTGGCGGTTGGAGGCACTGGACTCCCATGTGGCCGACCACGGTTTGAGTCCTGGTCCGGGAGGCTTGCTTTCCTATTCTCTCTTTCTCCCTCTCTGTCTCTCTCAGGTCAAATTGAACAAATAATAATGATAATAAATAACATAAAATAAAATAAAAATAATTAAAAAGTCAGATGTAGCCAAATCAGAAGTATAACATGGATGCCTAATAATTTCCTATTTAAATTCTACAAAATTGCTCTTGTTTGGTGAGTGAAATGAGCAGAAGCATTGCCATGGTGAAGGACTCTATGGTGAAGTTTTCCCAAGCATTCATCTGATGAAACTTCAGTTAACTTTCTTGAAACACTCTCATAATAAGCAGATGTCAGCATTCTTTGACTCTCCAGAAAGTCAACAAGCAAAATGCCTTGAGCATTCCAAAAGACTGCTGTCAGGACCTTTGCTCATAACTGCTTTTGCTTTGTCTGGACCACTTCCACCTCTTGGTAGCCATACTTTGTGCTTTACCTTCAGGAATGTACTAGTAAAGGCAATGTGTCATCTGCTGTTATTCTTCCCCAAGAAATGCTTCGGGATCTTGATTCCAGTTATTTACAGTTTCCACTGAAACTTGGCTCTTGTCTACAGATGACCTAAGCACAACAATTTTGGCACCACTGATGCTCAACTTTCATTTTTCAGTCAGAATTGTGTGAGCTGAACCAGTTGAGACGTCTATGTTGTTGGCTATTGTTTCTGTTGCTTATCTTTGGTCTTCTTCAATTAGGGCATGAAAAAGATTCATTTTTTCCTAGGAAAGTGGTATAGATAAGCCTGCCACTCAGGACCTCATCTTTCCAATCATTTCGTCCTTCTTAAAAGAAATTATCCATGAGACCAGCCATTAGCGTAATGGCTATGTCGCTGGACTCCCATGTAGTCAACCACGGTTTGCATCCTGGACCCGGTGGCTTAAAACTCACGCCAGGCACGTGTGCATGCATGCCCAAGATCCCGAGAGAATGGAGTAGAGGAGACAGTGGTGTGGCCATCCCCCCTGGGGGGTGATTTCTTGCTTTCTGTCTCTGTCTGGCAAGTGCAAGTGCCCTATAGCAAAAACCTCTAAAACAAAAACAAAAACAAAAACAAAAGATCCATTTGTAAACTGCTCATTTCCTTGGGGTATTGTCCCCCTAGACTTTTGGTAAAGCATCAGTGATGTCACTATTTTTCTACCCAAGGCTCACCATAAATCAGATGTTTGTTATTGCTTCAATTTTAGCAGAATTCATACTGTCTGATAGGGACTCTTTTGTCTTACCCTTTTTAGTGCCTCAAACCAGATTCTGTTCAGACATGTTATAATGAATTAGTGCAAGTTTATTTTGGTGTAAAAAAAGGAAAAATTAAAAAAAGAAATCCATGCATTTTTTAATGATACATTTTCCATGAACTTTCCAAAGACCCTCTTGTATGCTTGGCAACACCAAACCTTTATGTTTTCTAAGTCAACATGCTCTCCCTCTTCCTAACATCCAGACTCCATCTCCCTAGATCCACTCTCTTCATGGAAACTTTCCTAATTATTACTGTTTACAAGAACTGCTGGTCATTTTGGAGAAGGGAGCAATTATAAAAATAACCAGGAAATAGCATTGGACACTTAATATTTCCTATTTGTGTGGGTCCCCAACACTGCATAAATTCTTGAATGGCAATTTGTTTTTTTGTTCCCTCTTAATAACACCTATTAATACTCCAACTTTCTTTTTTAAGCAAATCTATTATCAAAGTGTCCCTTACCTTCTCGAGCTAAATCACCCACATTAACGTATTTCAGTCCTGATCTTGATGCAAGTTCTTTGCCTAGTGTGGTTTTTCCAACCCCTGGTGTACCTGTAAGAAAAGTCACAGAAAAATACTGTTTGTGAAATAGAAATTTGTGAATAGACTTCAATCATCTTTTCCCTTCCTAAGATTCCAAATAAATGAAGTGAAAAATACTTTAACTAGCAGTATGTGAATTAATATACACTACAACCTAATCAAAATTTCTCAAAGCCAGTTGGATCTCATGCAGTAATATATGATTCTCCAGGAGTAGAGCTTGGCAGTTATGATGTGGGTTCAGACTGCCCACCACCATCACTGCCCAGAATAAAACTAATCACCTAAAATCATTACCATCACTTACCTAATTTAAAAAAGACTAATAAAGATGTACAATGACTATATGTCAATTATAATTACAATTTCTTTAAAAAAGGAAAAAATTAAGAAGTTATTTAAGGGAATAATATTAGCAGCTCTGAAAGATGGTTCATTACCACTGCTGACCCTGAAATCCTTGCCTAGGGGCGAATACTATAAACCAATTTCTTAAATAGGTTATGTACCCCTTATCTAAAATGCATGGGACCAAAGTGTTATGGATTCGATTTTAGAATATTTACATATACATAATCAGGTATCTTAGGGCTATGATCCAAGTCAAAAAAACAAATCTGTTTCATATATACCTTATACACATAGCTTCAAGACAGTTTTTTTTTTTTTTTTTCCCAAACTGCTTCACCTTGTTGTGGTCCTCCTACTTCAGCTGCCCAGCTGGGACTATACAGGTGTGTACCACCCCTTCAGCCTATAGGTTGAGCCAGAAATTGAACCTAGGCCTTCCCTGTGGTCCTAGTCTGTGGAAGAGCATTTTACTAGTGTACAACCACTGCTGGTCCTGAAGGTGATCTTGTATGATATTTTTGTACTGTAGGTTTTTTTTGTTTTGTTTTGTTTTGTTTTTTTACATTTCTTCCACGTAAGAGGGATAGAAATGGAGAGAGAAAGAAAGGGTCTTGATACCACAATACACTTTCAGATTTGGATCACGGAAATGTGTGAGGCTGGTATGCTCAGGGAGGTCTCCAGGTACAAAACCAGAACCTACCCAAGTGGACCAGTCTTGTTGTGTGCTTTCTGTCTGCCCCCTATATTTTAGAGTGGTTAAACTTGACCTGTTATATGAGGTGAGGTGTGGAATTCTCCACCTGTGGAATCATGCTGGTACTAAAAAGTTACAATTTTGGAATATCAGAGAACTTAAAAAAATATTGTGGAAAGACTGAATTAAAGAAGGAATTCATTTTGGTACACAAGATTTTTGAAATACAGTTTTCTTCATAATATGCATTTTCCATGAACCTTTTGAAGACACTCCCCATTTTAGATTTTTAGATTAGGGACACTGAACCTGTATATCTTTTTCTTTATTTAATGATTATTTATTTTCATTATTTATTATTATTATTTTTAATTTGACGAAAGAGAGAGAGACAGATGGAGAGAAAGGGGAAGTGAGAAAGCAAGTTGCCAGGTCCAGGACTTGAAGCGCCGTTGACCACATGGGAGTCCGGAGCCTTAACCACCACACCACCTGCAGGCCCAGAAACTGTATCAAAGAAGTCCTATGCATGTGCACACACATATGTGTATATTTTGTGTGAATATGTACTACATATATCCCCTTTAACACAAACATTACATATGGGGACCAGCAGTTGGCGTAATGGCTATGTCGCTGGACTCCAATGTGGTCGACAGTAGTCGGAGTCCTGGACCCAGTGGCTTAAACTCATGCCAGGTGTGTGTGCAAGCGTGCATGCGTTAGGCTTTAAGTACAGTGAATATGTTCAGTCATTACTACGTATTGAGTGTCTGATGGTTTTTGAAAGCTCAGGAGGCAGTCTGCATTTTTTTCACTTGTTTTTAGTGTAACTAGGTTTGGCAGCTCTATATAAGTTTTTTGCATCTAAAAAAAAAAAAAAAAAAAAAACTCCACGTAATTCTTTACCTTCTCTCTTTTTTCTGTTTCATTTCAAGGTAATTAAATGCATAGTTTTCAGCTATTCAGGTTTAATGCCACAGGGATTATTAAATTTGAGTACTGTAATTAAAAAGACAAACCAAATATCCATGCAGGGAAATAACATTCACTGTAAGTCCATTATAATACACCAACTCTGAACTCAAAAGATTGCCAATAAATGCTCATTCTCAATTTTTTTTTTTTTCTTTTGGAGAGGTTTTTACTATGGGATGCATGTGCTTGCCAGACGTAGAGAGAAAGTAAAAAATAAGTTCCCCAAGGGGAATGGGCACATTGCAATCCCTTCTCCATTCTCTCCAGATTTTGGTCACCCATGCGCATGGGATAGGCATGTGGGAGTCCAGTGCCTTAACCACTGTACCACCTGCTGGCATCACCCCCACTCCAGATTTCTGACAAAAATGATTTAATATTTTAAAAACCACAACATTGGGGCCAGCATTCAAAGTGGTGGTTAGGGCGCTGGACTCTTTCTCACAAGGCCAACTGCGGTTTGAGTTCTGGACCTGTGGGCTTGCTTTCTCACTTTCTCTCTCTCCCCTAGTCCCTCTCTGGTCAAATTACAACAAACAACCGAACAAATAAGTTAAATTATTCTTTTAAAGTAATAATAATAAGTATCTTTTTTTAAAAAGGACATCACCTGACCCATGCAAATCAGATGCTGCCTTGGGTGGTTATCTGTAGCACTCAGAAACAGGACTTGTATGGGGCCAGCACATTTATACTTTGTTAAATGGTAAGTTTACTGCTCTGTTCCATAAAGAATCTCTTTATTTTCCTTTTTTTTTTTTTTGAGTGGTCTTTGCTATAGGGCGTGTGCGTTGGCCAGAAAGACAGAGAGACAGAAAGCGACAAAGGATGGCCACGCCACAATCCCTCCTCCTCTCGGGATCTTGGACACGCACGCCCGGTGTTGAGTTTAAGTCACTGGGTCCGGGACTCGAACCGCGGCCAGTCTACATGGGAGTCCAGGGACATAGCCATTATGCCAACTGGTCCCAAGAACCTCTTAATTTTTCTTTATCTTGCAAAACCATTTAGATTGTTCCATGTTTGACCTATGATTCTATTCATTGCTGCAACTTAAACACTTTCAGGCCCAAGCCCCAACAACCTTCTTGGGTGTACTTTCTTTCTTTTCCTTTCTTTCTATTAAACATTATTTTATACCAAAAAAAAAAAAAAAAAAAAAAACCACTTTCAGGACCAAATGTCCAGGAACCATATTCTTTAAGGCATTATTTTAGTTCACTGCTAACATGCACCCTGGGCATGGCTCCAAAGAACCAGAACAGTCCCAGGGACAACTTAGCAATTTCACACTTCTACACGAGAAACGACCAGAAATATCCAGTAAATGCTTAAACAAACAACCAAACAAAAAACAACAGGGACCAGTAGGTGGTGTGGTGGTAAGGACACTGTACTCCCACATAGCTGACTACGTTTCGGGTCTCAGGCCTGGCAGCTTGCTTTCTCACCTTCCCTCTCTCTCTCTCTCTCTCTGTCCCTCTCTTGTCAAATTTAAATAAATTAAGTTAGATAAAATAATTCTTAAAAAAAAAAAAAACAGCCTCTGCTGCTGACTCATCAAACGTATACAGTAAACTAGACCACAAACATCCGAACACATTTATAGAAATCTAATCTGGGAGGAGTATCTCAGATGCACAAAAACAAAACAAAACACAAAAAAAGATACGGCAAAGGAAGTATAGGGAGACAACAGATCTACGATGAACAGATCTAGTACGGGTAAGACACTGCCCTTACCTCGCTTAAAAATCCTAAAGCCAACTCTGCCAAGGAATTCGAAACTGGTTTACAAACAAAAACCCGGATACAGAGAGATTAAGCAGCTCTCTGTCAAAGAGGCTGGATTTGCGCCCCTCCCGGGACCTACCCCAAGAGCCTCCCACCGCCGGAATTAACCTGCCGCGCCCCTCCCCCCGCCGCCCCCCGGCCGCCCGCCGCGGTCCGGAGGCCCCGACCGAGGCCCTGACAACCGCCACGCGGCGCTCGACCGGCGCAGACCCAGCCCAGAGCGGGCCCCTCTCGGGCGCCCGAGGCCTCAAGCACTCGGCGTCCCCTGCCTGCCCCGCCGTCCAGCCCCACACAGCCGCGTGCCCTGACCGGTGAGCAAGATGTTCGGAAGCACCATAGTCTTCACGGCGATGGCTCCGGGCGCCTCGGTTTAGGCGCTGCCGGGAGGCGCGCCGCCCCACGGGGGGGACCCGGAAGGGGCGGGCAGCGGCAAGCGCCGGCAGCCCCGAGGTGCTCGAGGGCCCGCGCGGCGCTCCTGACCTAGCTCCCCGGCCCAGCCGCCCTCCATTAGTTACCTAGCCTTCTATGATGTGCTTCCGTCTCCTGTTCCGAGGCAGGGGCACAACTTGGGTTCGCGTTTTGGATCAGGCAGCACTCTGGATGCCTAAGTCACGCACTCCTTTGTCGGCCCCCGCCCTTCAGCCTGTGTCGCGGAAACGCCGACCAGTCTGGAAGGTCCCCAGGAGGCGGGACCTTCGAGAGGCACGGCTATTCCGTGCAGCACCGTGTGGCTGCCGTTCCACCTGGAGTACAGCCCGGTCTCCTCCGCTCCTCTCCTCCCACTAGGGGATGCGGCTCCCGGGAAGTAAGGCCGCCGCCGTGTCATATACGTATGTCCTGGATTCGCTTTGCTGGGCCATCGTCGCTCCTCCTCCGGACCCGCCCATCGCGTCTGGGGACTGAAAGGGTGGGAGTGCAGAGCCCTGGCCTGGAGGGGAGGATACTGCTTATTACAGGATTACGTTGGACTAATATCCGAGTTTAATGTCCCTGTGCAGTCTTTGGGGTAGTGGTGGGTCTGGGGGCCTTAGTATTGAAGGACTTTCCTATTTCTGATGTCTCATTGCAGGAACCCAGAATCATCAGGGACAGTTACTTGCTTTATAAAGGAGGTAAATGTCAGTGTTGTTTTTAAGGAGTGACTCATGTCCTCATCATAACACTTTGCATCTTTTATTTTGACAGGCCTATTCTGCTCACTCAAATAGGTGTTTTTCCACCTATGTACCTTTTTGAAACTTCAATGACTCTAATGAACGATTTTTTGGGAAGGGTGAACAGTTTGTTTTCTAGTGAGTGAGAGTGTTCATTTTGTAAGTTATGTACGTCTCCAAACTAAAGTACAGTACATCTTCTAACATATAGGTTTGAAGGTCTTAAAAAAATAACTAAACTTTTGTTTCGGCTAACTTAAAATCGTCAAGTTTGCATAAGCACTGAAGAATTATGAAAGTTGAAAATAGTGTTGCCACGAAATTTCTTAGTAATATTTTCAAATAAGGAAAGCAGTTACTAGAAAAAAAATATTTGAAATAAGTGACAAGTCTGAATTTCTTATATTTTGCTTTTTTCTTTTCGTAATTTTGGAAAGAACTAATTATTTTGAAATATGGAAAGCTTTAATTTTCAGTATAAGGACTGCTTAAATAGTACTGTCTGTTTTTTTAAAGAAGTAATTTATTTTTATTACATATTTCTAAAAATTTGTTATGAGTTACATGCATTCCCCAGAGAGAGAGAGAAAGTGAGAAAGCAAACCACCAGGTCCAGGACTCAGACTGCTGTCAGCCCTGTGGGAGTCTAGTGCCGTAAGCACCATGCCACCCACTGGCCCCAGTATTGTCTAATTTTTCTTAATTGCAAAAGGTTGGTACACAAAATTGTAGTTTTTCTGTTTTCTGTAGTACATCTGAGTTCAGGTGGAAAACTCTACTTGTAACACCATAAAGAGACATAGTTGCAGTCATTAAAAGTGGAATTTATTTTAGCATTTCGATTTCCTATTTGGATTATTATGTTATCTATTACTAGTTCTTGAGCCTTAACTTTCTCATATTGATTATATGAATATATATTGTAATTCCATATTTATAGTTTTTCTTGTTTTGAGGAGTTTTTTGTTTTCTCTTTTTTCCCTAGGTGAATTATACTTCAGTGTACTACAGGTTGTATACCACGGATGGGAACTGTAAAAGTTTATAATGTCAGAAACTATTCTTAGACCAAAGGTATCTTCTACAAAGGTATGACAAAAATGTGACAGATATGACACTAAAATAGCCATGTAATAATAACCTAAAAAAAGAGTACACATATTTATATTTACTCTTCATAACTTATCATTGCCATCCAAGTAATTGTGCCCAGTTTGTTTTAATTAGTGATCATAACTATTGATATATGCTGTAAGCACAACCCCACTTTTGAAAAAGCATTTATACTCCCAGTCACCAAAGAGAAAGTCTAAAACTCTTGAATGAAAGAGCATATAAGAGAGAAATATAAATAGCAGCTTGTATTACAGCTTAACCACAGGCCCTACACCTTAGAATTCATGTGGTTCAATGTGTCAGTTATCAGCAAGTGCGGGGTTCGGGGGGTGGGATGGAGGTCCAACAGTGTCATACTCTGGCCAGGTAGCTCTTTCACTAATGGTGGCTCTAATTTTTCTTTGATCTTAAGTAAATTTATTTCTACTCTTTCTCTTTAAGTAAATAGGAGTCCATATTAATAGAAGAAATAAATATATAATATGTATTAAGTAATGGGACAGCTGGTGATGGGGTGAAGACAGCTGCATCATGGAGTTCCAGTCTCAGCAATTTGTAATACATGCTAAGGGGCCCAGCAGGTGGCATGGTGGTTAAGGGCGCTGGACCTTCCACATGGCCAATCATGGCTCAAGTTCTGGACGTGGCGACTTGCTTTCTCACTTTGCACCTCTCTCCCTTTCTCTCCCTCCCTCCCTCCCTCTCTGGTTAAGTAGAAAAAGAGAGAGGGAGGGAGGGAGGAAAGAAGTTAAATAAATTAGAAAGAAAGACAGACAGACAGACAGACAGACAGACATACTAGTTGTATGTATGCCCAAAGTCCCAAGAGGAGAATGGAGGAAAGGGATTGTGGCATGGATCCCCCCCCCATGGGTTCTCTCTGTCTCTGTCTCTCTCTAGTGAGCACATACCCTGTAGCAAAATTGTTAAGAAAAGATACATAAGGGGGCCAGCAGGAGCGGAATCATTAGGGTGCTGGACTCCCACTTATTTGACTGCAGTTTGAGTCCCTGACCTGGCAGCTTGAAACTCACACTGTGCACATGTGTATGTGTGCCCAGAATCCCAAGAGGAGAATGGAGAAGGGGTACAGTGTGGCCCATCCCCCCAGGGGGTGATTTCTCTCTTTCTGTCTGTCTCTCTTTGCCTCTCCAGTGAGCGCATGTGCCCTATAGCAAAAATTTCTCACACTCACATAAAGAAAAGATGTGTAAGAAGTATACAAATTACAATTATTATCAAAAAATTTGCTATGAAAAAATACTTTCATGTCCTCTTAAATATAAAAAAAAGAGCCAAAATTATAGTAATACCAGTGATGATTTTTTGATGAGGAAGAAATTAATTGGTTAGCCATGACACAGATCTTTTTCCCAGTGATCTTCTTTTTTTTACTTATTGCTAATGATATTCCTAACTCTATGTCTTAAAAGAGAGAAATGTGTCTTAGCATTCAGAAAATACTTATAAGCCCCAAATGATCTCCCCAGAGCCATCTTTTAGCTCCAATTTTTAGTTCTTTTTCTCCTAGAAAGAAGCATTGTCTAATAAATAGGTTATAGTGATGGCTGGCTACTCTTGAAGGAAAATGTAATCTGGGTTCCAACTTGTTAACCAGGTAGCAACTCCCAATGCCAGGTGCTAAGCTAAACGTTTCTAGATCTCCTCCGCTCCTCTCCTCCCACTAGGGGATGCGGCTCCCGGGAAGTAAGGCCGCCGCCGTGTCATATACGTATGTCCTGGATTCGCTTTGCTGGGCCATCGTCGCTCCTCCTCCGGACCCGCCCATCGCGTCTGGGGACTGAAAGGGTGGGAGTGCAGAGCCCTGGCCTGGAGGGGAGGATACTGCTTATTACAGGATTACGTTGGACTAATATCCGAGTTTAATGTCCCTGTGCAGTCTTTGGGGTAGTGGTGGGTCTGGGGGCCTTAGTATTGAAGGACTTTCCTATTTCTGATGTCTCATTGCAGGAACCCAGAATCATCAGGGACAGTTACTTGCTTTATAAAGGAGGTAAATGTCAGTGTTGTTTTTAAGGAGTGACTCATGTCCTCATCATAACACTTTGCATCTTTTATTTTGACAGGCCTATTCTGCTCACTCAAATAGGTGTTTTTCCACCTATGTACCTTTTTGAAACTTCAATGACTCTAATGAACGATTTTTTGGGAAGGGTGAACAGTTTGTTTTCTAGTGAGTGAGAGTGTTCATTTTGTAAGTTATGTACGTCTCCAAACTAAAGTACAGTACATCTTCTAACATATAGGTTTGAAGGTCTTAAAAAAATAACTAAACTTTTGTTTCGGCTAACTTAAAATCGTCAAGTTTGCATAAGCACTGAAGAATTATGAAAGTTGAAAATAGTGTTGCCACGAAATTTCTTAGTAATATTTTCAAATAAGGAAAGCAGTTACTAGAAAAAAAATATTTGAAATAAGTGACAAGTCTGAATTTCTTATATTTTGCTTTTTTCTTTTCGTAATTTTGGAAAGAACTAATTATTTTGAAATATGGAAAGCTTTAATTTTCAGTATAAGGACTGCTTAAATAGTACTGTCTGTTTTTTTAAAGAAGTAATTTATTTTTATTACATATTTCTAAAAATTTGTTATGAGTTACATGCATTCCCCAGAGAGAGAGAGAAAGTGAGAAAGCAAACCACCAGGTCCAGGACTCAGACTGCTGTCAGCCCTGTGGGAGTCTAGTGCCGTAAGCACCATGCCACCCACTGGCCCCAGTATTGTCTAATTTTTCTTAATTGCAAAAGGTTGGTACACAAAATTGTAGTTTTTCTGTTTTCTGTAGTACATCTGAGTTCAGGTGGAAAACTCTACTTGTAACACCATAAAGAGACATAGTTGCAGTCATTAAAAGTGGAATTTATTTTAGCATTTCGATTTCCTATTTGGATTATTATGTTATCTATTACTAGTTCTTGAGCCTTAACTTTCTCATATTGATTATATGAATATATATTGTAATTCCATATTTATAGTTTTTCTTGTTTTGAGGAGTTTTTTGTTTTCTCTTTTTTCCCTAGGTGAATTATACTTCAGTGTACTACAGGTTGTATACCACGGATGGGAACTGTAAAAGTTTATAATGTCAGAAACTATTCTTAGACCAAAGGTATCTTCTACAAAGGTATGACAAAAATGTGACAGATATGACACTAAAATAGCCATGTAATAATAACCTAAAAAAAGAGTACACATATTTATATTTACTCTTCATAACTTATCATTGCCATCCAAGTAATTGTGCCCAGTTTGTTTTAATTAGTGATCATAACTATTGATATATGCTGTAAGCACAACCCCACTTTTGAAAAAGCATTTATACTCCCAGTCACCAAAGAGAAAGTCTAAAACTCTTGAATGAAAGAGCATATAAGAGAGAAATATAAATAGCAGCTTGTATTACAGCTTAACCACAGGCCCTACACCTTAGAATTCATGTGGTTCAATGTGTCAGTTATCAGCAAGTGCGGGGTTCGGGGGGTGGGATGGAGGTCCAACAGTGTCATACTCTGGCCAGGTAGCTCTTTCACTAATGGTGGCTCTAATTTTTCTTTGATCTTAAGTAAATTTATTTCTACTCTTTCTCTTTAAGTAAATAGGAGTCCATATTAATAGAAGAAATAAATATATAATATGTATTAAGTAATGGGACAGCTGGTGATGGGGTGAAGACAGCTGCATCATGGAGTTCCAGTCTCAGCAATTTGTAATACATGCTAAGGGGCCCAGCAGGTGGCATGGTGGTTAAGGGCGCTGGACCTTCCACATGGCCAATCATGGCTCAAGTTCTGGACGTGGCGACTTGCTTTCTCACTTTGCACCTCTCTCCCTTTCTCTCCCTCCCTCCCTCCCTCTCTGGTTAAGTAGAAAAAGAGAGAGGGAGGGAGGGAGGAAAGAAGTTAAATAAATTAGAAAGAAAGACAGACAGACAGACAGACAGACAGACATACTAGTTGTATGTATGCCCAAAGTCCCAAGAGGAGAATGGAGGAAAGGGATTGTGGCATGGATCCCCCCCCCATGGGTTCTCTCTGTCTCTGTCTCTCTCTAGTGAGCACATACCCTGTAGCAAAATTGTTAAGAAAAGATACATAAGGGGGCCAGCAGGAGCGGAATCATTAGGGTGCTGGACTCCCACTTATTTGACTGCAGTTTGAGTCCCTGACCTGGCAGCTTGAAACTCACACTGTGCACATGTGTATGTGTGCCCAGAATCCCAAGAGGAGAATGGAGAAGGGGTACAGTGTGGCCCATCCCCCCAGGGGGTGATTTCTCTCTTTCTGTCTGTCTCTCTTTGCCTCTCCAGTGAGCGCATGTGCCCTATAGCAAAAATTTCTCACACTCACATAAAGAAAAGATGTGTAAGAAGTATACAAATTACAATTATTATCAAAAAATTTGCTATGAAAAAATACTTTCATGTCCTCTTAAATATAAAAAAAAGAGCCAAAATTATAGTAATACCAGTGATGATTTTTTGATGAGGAAGAAATTAATTGGTTAGCCATGACACAGATCTTTTTCCCAGTGATCTTCTTTTTTTTACTTATTGCTAATGATATTCCTAACTCTATGTCTTAAAAGAGAGAAATGTGTCTTAGCATTCAGAAAATACTTATAAGCCCCAAATGATCTCCCCAGAGCCATCTTTTAGCTCCAATTTTTAGTTCTTTTTCTCCTAGAAAGAAGCATTGTCTAATAAATAGGTTATAGTGATGGCTGGCTACTCTTGAAGGAAAATGTAATCTGGGTTCCAACTTGTTAACCAGGTAGCAACTCCCAATGCCAGGTGCTAAGCTAAACGTTTCTAGATTTATATTGTTAGTGTGTTTAGAAAACTCATTTTAAAATGCCTAATTACTAGAAAAACTTTATTAATACTTTTAAATATTTTGAAACTAAAATTGCCCAACTTAGTATCGTTCTCTATATACATTTACAAAGGAGTTTAAAGAAAAGGAAACAATGGAGGGAAAAACAGAGAGGTTAGGAGTTTATATAGACCAGAAAAGCATAAAATACACCTCACTGATTTTCTTGTTCTCTTGCCCCAGTGATCTTTCTTTCTTTTTTTTTTTTAATTTTTCTGGACAATGCCGGCATGTGGATCTTTTTTTTTTATAAATTTTTAAAAATTTATTCATTCATTCACTCTAATTTGACCAGAGAGAGGCAGACACATAGAGAGTGAGAGAGAGAGGGAAAGTGAGAAAGCAAGCCACCAGGTCCAGGACTTGAACCCTGCTCAGCCATGTGGGAGTGTCCAGCACCTTAACCACCACGCCACTTGCTGGCCCCTTGCCCCAGTAATCTTTCTAATGATGATCCTTAACATCCCTAGGCAGCCTGCCTCACATAAAAATATTAGTTGTTCCATTCACTGAAAAGAAAAATAACGTAGTCCTAAATCTTAAAACTGTCATGGAGGCCAGGAGGTGGCGTGGTGGTTAAAGGCACTGGATTCCCACATGACTGACTGCAGTTCAAGTACCAGACCTGGAGGCTTACTTTCTCACTTTCCCTTTCTCTCTCTGTCTCTCTCTCCAGATTAATAATAACAACAGATAGAATTGAATAAATAAATCTTTTTTTTAAAGAATTATTTAATTTTATTTATTCATTCATTTATTTTAATTTGGCTAGAGAGAGACACAGAGAGCGAGAGAGAGGGAAAGTGAGAAAGCAAGCCACCATGTCCAGGACTCAAACTGTGGTTGGCCATGTGGTAGTGTCCAGCACCTTAACCACCATGCCACCTGCTGGTCCCCAATAAATCATTTTTTTAAAAAACTGACATGGATTATTTGGGTATATGAAATTGTTATTAGTTCTCTTTTTTTTAAAAAGGTTTTTGCTGTAGGGCACATGTGCTTGTGAAAGAAACAGAGACAGTAAGAAGGAAAGTGAGAAGTTATCCCCCAAGGGGGTGGCCATGTTTCAGTCCTTCCTCCATTCTCCTCCTGGGATTTTTGGGTACACATATACATGCTTCTGGCATGATTTTCAAGCCTCTGGGGCTGGGACTCGAACCACAGTTGGCCATATGAGAGTCCATTGCCTTAACCACCATGCCACTTGCTTTCCCCAGTTTTTAAATATTTTAAGCTGGTAAGGCATGTTCTACATTTACTGCTATATCCAGTTAAAATAATATTTTATTTATTTTGTTTTCTTCTGTCTTTATAAGGAATTTTAATGTTTATATTTCATTCCTACAGTGAAATGAAAAAAAATTCCTACTCTATCTTGGGAAGGTTACAATTAATAAAAGACTTAAGTTTGTGTTCATTACTCTTTACATGGCATTCACCATTTCCATAGTGAAGTAGACAAGTACACATTTACAATTTTTGTAAAGTAGAAAAATTAATGTACACAGAGCCAGTTTTACTAAAAAAATCAATTTGTAAGTTTTTTTGTTTTGTTTTTAGGTTTTTGCCATAGGGCATGTGCATTTCCCAGGCAAATAAAAGAGAGGTGGAAAGTGAGAAATCATCCCCCCGAAGGGATGGCCATGCTACAATCCCTCCTGCTCCAGACACCTCTCAGGAATTTAGGTGCACATGCACGTGCCCAGCCACCAGGTGTGGGACTCAAACCATGGTCAACCATGTGGGAGTGTAGTGCCTTAACCACTATACCACCTGCTGGCCCCAAGAGATCTTTATTTTAAATGTTATAAGTACATAAAAATTTTGCTTCCAAAATAGTTCAGCTATATACGGAATAGATGAAAAAAATAGTAATAATATGGTCATGATTCCTTTTTCTACAGGTAACAGACTGGGTAGACCCATCATTTGATGATTTTTCAGAAAATACAGGCATCTCTACTGTTCCTGCCACATCTTTAAGTGTGAATAACTCAAGTCATAGAAGAAAAAATGGACCTTTCACATTAGAAAGTAGTGGATTTCCAGCTAGAAAAAGAGGAAACCTATCTTCCATAAAACAAATTTCTGATCTCGAAAATTCAAAAGAATGTCTCTCTGAAAATGAACCATGGGTGGATAAATATAAACCAGAAACTCAGGTATTAAATAGCATATAAACATGACTATATAATTTAATTTCAGGGTATATGAAAGTAGGTGGGAAGGAGAAAGATGTATATTTTCAGTTTTTACTCATAAGAATCTATGTTGTAAATTAACTAGAAAAAAATAATATGTAGATTTTTTAGTGTTCCAGGGCTCAGATTTTTCAACAATTCAGTTTCTCAGCCATTGATTCTTTATCGTAGATTTAATTTAAACCCAACATAAAATTGTCTCTCTTTTTTTATTTTAATTATTTTTTTGGAGAGGTTTTTGCTATAAGGGCATGTGTGCTCGCCAGATACAGAGAGACAGAGAGACAGAAAGCGAGAAATCACCCCCCAGGGTGGATGGCCACGCCGCAATCCCTTCTCCTCCATTCTCCTCTTGGGATCTTGGCACACATGCACACGTGCCTGGTGTGAGTTTAAGTCACCGGGTCCGGGACGCGAACCGCAGTCGACTACATGTGAGTCCAGCGACATTGCCATTACGCCAACTACTGGTCCCTAAAATTGTCTCTTTATTTTTTCAGTAAATGTAATGCCCATTTCTATTTCTTTCTCACATCCTTAATCCTAACTATATGTATGTGTGAGTGTACATATATATATTATTTTTTTCTTTTCAGAGGATTTTTTCCTTAAGGTATGTACACTTGCCAAATATAGAGACAGAGACTGTGAGAGGGAAAGTAAGAAATTGCCCCCCAGGAGGATGGCAATGCTGCAATCCTTTTCTCTCCATTCTCCTCCTAGGATCTTGGACATGCACACACACATGCCTGGTGTAAGTTTTAAGCTACCAGATCTGGGACTCGAACCACTGTTGGCCTTGCAGAAGTCCAACAATATAACTGCTATGCCATCTGCTGGCCCCAATCCTTACTATATTTTTTAAAATTTTGTACAGTAGTCCCCCCCTTATTTGTATTTATCTATGATCCAGAAATATTAAGCAGGAAGAGACCACATTCACATAACTTTTATTGCAATATATTGTTATCATTCAATCTTTCAGTGTTGTTTATATATTATATAAACTATATATTATATTTCATCATAGTGAGTATGTGGAGGGAAAAGCAGTATATATCGGGTTTGGTATTATTCTCTGTCTAGGCATCCATAGGGGTCTTGGAATATATCCCCTGTGCATAAAGGGGGACTTTAATTGCAGACTTACCGAAATTATCATATAGTAGTATCAGCTTAGGAATAAAAATTGTGTGTGATAATATAAAAATTCAAGTGTAGTCAAAAGGGTCTTTTTATTACAATGTAACTTTTGTCACAATACAATATTTTTTGTTAAATATAATTACTTTGTTAAAAATATTTAGGTTAATTTTTACTGACATACCAAAAGTCCTTGAGTTAAAATAGTGTAAACTTGAAATTTTTATTTTAGCACGAACTTGCTGTGCATAAAAAGAAAATTGAAGAAGTTGAAACCTGGTTAAAAGCTCAGGTCTTAAAACAGCAACCAAAACAGGTAATTATATAAATATATATTTAAAAAATATTTTACATCAAATATTTCTCCGACTTATAGGTAAAAAGTTAAACTTTTATGATGACTTTATTGAGATAAGTCCAGATCACCTCCAGTAGAAAATTTCCTGATCTTACTGTTAGGTCATAGCAAAAGTCATGACATATTTTTTGCATAGAAAAAACTATGTCATGACTTTACTGATAATCCAATACTTCTGACCTCTCTAGAAGTTTCAGAGACTTTAAGTTTTCCCTTTTTTTCTTTCTTTACATTTTATATCCTATTGTTGGAATAAGAGATAGTAGGCTAATTAGGGTATTAGAGTATTTATATTTAGCACGTCTGATTATCTCACACTGAAGCTAGGGGGCAGATTACATGTTAGTTTCTATACTGAATATAGCCTAAAACAGTCATTATCTATTTTAGGCTGGTGTTTTTCGTTTCATTTCCCATTTTCACAATTACATTCTTCCCCCCCCCCAAGGTAAATCATTTTTTTCTTCTCTCAATCTCTGCTTTTAAACTTTCTAATTTTGAGTTACTTTAAACACAAAGGAAAATAAAAACAATAGCAAAATTATTCATCTATACCTAATATACCCTTAGGTATTTTAAAGTAAATTGGAAACATTGTGGCATTGTAGCTATACTTACAAATACTTCAATATGCCTGTTTTTTTTCCCCCCTTTTTAAGAAAAAGCATTTGTTACTTTAACTCTACTACATCCATGTGTTAATGTTATCTTAACGATCAATTCATATTCATATTTCTCTAGATGTTCCTTTGTAGTTGGTTTGCTTCACCAGCATCTAATCAAGGATTACATGTTACATTTGCCTGTTATAAGGGTTTTTGTTTTTTTTTTAGGTTTTTGTCATTTGGTGCATAAAACTCACTGGAGAGAGACAGAGAAGGAAAGTGAGAAATCACCCCTTGGGGAGTGGAGTTGACCATGCTACAGCCCCATCTCTACCGTTCTTTGGGTATTTTGGGCACATGTGCACAGAAACCTGGTGTGATTTTCAGGCTGCTGGGTCTAGGACTCAAACCATGTTAGGCCATATAGGAATCCAGTCCCTTAACCACCACAGCACCTGCTGGCCCGTTCATAGAAAAAACTATGTCATGACTTTACTGATAATCCAATACTTCTGACCTCTCTAGAAGTTTCAGAGACTTTAAGTTTTCCCTTTTTTTCTTTCTTTACATTTTATATCCTATTGTTGGAATAAGAGATAGTAGGCTAATTAGGGTATTAGAGTATTTATATTTAGCACGTCTGATTATCTCACACTGAAGCTAGGGGGCAGATTACATGTTAGTTTCTATACTGAATATAGCCTAAAACAGTCATTATCTATTTTAGGCTGGTGTTTTTCGTTTCATTTCCCATTTTCACAATTACATTCTTCCCCCCCCCCAAGGTAAATCATTTTTTTCTTCTCTCAATCTCTGCTTTTAAACTTTCTAATTTTGAGTTACTTTAAACACAAAGGAAAATAAAAACAATAGCAAAATTATTCATCTATACCTAATATACCCTTAGGTATTTTAAAGTAAATTGGAAACATTGTGGCATTGTAGCTATACTTACAAATACTTCAATATGCCTGTTTTTTTTCCCCCCTTTTTAAGAAAAAGCATTTGTTACTTTAACTCTACTACATCCATGTGTTAATGTTATCTTAACGATCAATTCATATTCATATTTCTCTAGATGTTCCTTTGTAGTTGGTTTGCTTCACCAGCATCTAATCAAGGATTACATGTTACATTTGCCTGTTATAAGGGTTTTTGTTTTTTTTTTAGGTTTTTGTCATTTGGTGCATAAAACTCACTGGAGAGAGACAGAGAAGGAAAGTGAGAAATCACCCCTTGGGGAGTGGAGTTGACCATGCTACAGCCCCATCTCTACCGTTCTTTGGGTATTTTGGGCACATGTGCACAGAAACCTGGTGTGATTTTCAGGCTGCTGGGTCTAGGACTCAAACCATGTTAGGCCATATAGGAATCCAGTCCCTTAACCACCACAGCACCTGCTGGCCCGTTTGTTTTGTTTTGTTTTGTTTTTCTTTTAAATCTAGAAATAGTTCCTGCCATCCTCTCTCTTTCTCTAAGACATTAATTTACTGAAGAGATCAGGCCTATTGTCTAGGACTTGCTTTTAGCAAGCCTTTCATCCAACATTTTTGTCAAATCCCTAATCCATACCTTATTTCATGTGTGTTTCTGTTTAAAGACACCTTATGTAATGTATTTTGTTGATTCTTAGCATTGAACTCACAGCTAATAGCACTATAATTCGAAGACTGCCAGATTGAAAAGTAGAACTGGCTGTCTTCTGGGACCAAGTACAGCGGCCCTTACCTTTAATAACCAAGAGATACAAACAAGTGAGCAAGGATTACAGCCCACTACTGGATGTAGGAAATCATCTCATAATTATTTTTTACTTCTAAATTTTTAAAAATTTACTCTATGAGGAAATGTCACTTCATCCTACAACTTCTAGTCTCTCATTAGAGTTTATCTCTGGTTAAGATACATTTCTTCTTCTTTTTTTTTCCTTTGTTAGAGAATGTATGTGCTCACCAAAGAGAGAGAGAGAGTTGAAATCACCTCCCATCATCCTCCACGGGGCATGGTCACACCACAACTGCTTCTCCATGTCTGCCTTACTTTGAAACTTTGCATATAAACAAGCCCATGCTCAGCACTATTTATCAAGACACTTAGTTCAGGACTTAAATCACATGATTGGACATTGAGAATCTGACCACCTTAACTTCTAGGCTATGAAGCAGGCCTGGTATATTTCTTAAGAAATCTATCCAAACTGAGGCTTTCTCATAAAAATATACAGTATTGTATTAATAAATAAGAGGTCTGTATTAAGAATGAATTTTATGGGACCAGCAGTTAGTGTAATGGCTATGTCGCTGAACTCCCATGTAGTTGACCACGGTTCAAGTCCCAGACCCAGTGGCTTAAACTCAAACCAGGAACGTGTGTGTGCGTGCCCAAGATCCCAAGAGGAGAATGGAGGAGAAGGGATTGCGGCATGGCCATCCCCCCTGGGGGGTGATTTCTCACTTTCTCTCTCTCTGTCTTTCTGGCGAGCACACGTGTCCTATAGCAAAACCTCTCCCCCCCCCCAAAAAAAAATGAATGAATTTTATGGAAGCCCCCAGGTACTTGGGAGGTTAAGGCAGCTAAATCTCACATGGTGGACTGAGCTTCTCAAGTCCTGGACCTACAGCTTGAGAATCATGCTGGGCATGTGTGTGTGCATGCCCAAAATCCCGAGAGGAGAATGGAAAAGAGATAGTGATGTGGTCATTATCCAGGGAGTGATTTTTCTCTCCCTGGTAAGCACATGTGCCCTATAGCAGACTAAAACAAAACAACAGCAAGAACAAAAAGATTGAATTTTATGAGTTTAAGTAACCTCTCAAAACTTTGTTGCAGACATTACCTTCATAATTTAGCTGAAAGTTTATTGTTTTAATTTGAGTATTAAGTATCCTTTGGAAGGGATATAATATAAAAATTAAGGAGCTATTGGAAGAGAGACTTAAAGTTCAGGAAATAAAATTCTCTCATTTTATCTAAAACTGGTTTATTCTGGCTAGTGTCACTGCGAAATTTAGTCTGCATATTCCAGATATAAGTATTTGAAGATGTATTAAATTATATTTAGAAATAAAATTTCAGTCTTATTCTAGCATTCCAGTGATTTTGGTTTTTAATCGATGTTTGTATTTGGTTTTAGGGTGGGTCTCTTTTATTATTAACAGGTCCTCCTGGATGTGGAAAAACAACTACTATAAAAATACTATCAAAGGAGCATGGTATTCAAGTACAAGAGTGGATTAATCCAGTTTTATCAGACTTTCAAAGAGATGATTTCAAGGAGCTGTTTCATTCTGGTAAGGGTTGCTGTGAAGATAGTTGAAATAATGGGGGAAACTTACACTTATGAAACTATCATATGAAGCTCTGTGAGTGCATTTTGTCCCATTTTTCCAGTTTTATAAAACAGTTTCAGGAAAAGGAAGGAAAGGATGCCTCCATTAAAGGAGAATGGGATGCTTTGAGGATTAAGTCTTAAGTATTTTAAGTATTTTGTTAGATAACAAACACTTCTGTTTGTGTGGGGTTTTATTAGTTTTTTTGTTTGTTTGTTTGTTTGAGAGGTTTTTGCTATAGAGTGCATGCGCTTGCCGGAAAGACAGAGAGAGATATAAAGACAGAAAGCAAGATATCACCCCCCAGGTGGGATGGTCACGCCACAGTCCCTTCTCTGCCATTCTCCTCTTGGGATCTGGGGCACATATGCATGTGCACCCAGCGTGAGTTTAAGCCACCAGGTCAGGGACTCGAACCGCGATTGACTACATGGAAGTCCAGCAACATAGCCATTATGCCATCTGCTGGTCCCTCAAGCTCTTCTGTTTATATTACTTATATACTTTTTTCCAGGATCTGGCTGGGAGGTTGAACAGTGTACATAAAATCTTATTTTTTAAAAATGTAAATGAAATACCAATGTTAAAGGAACTTAACTCCCAGCTGTCAATAGATAGCTTAGGTCAGTAAATACCTGTTAGAATCAAAGCATAAGAAAAGACTGCCTTTGGAATTTGGAAGGAGGCCTTAAGACAGACATCCAGTTTAGAGATATATGATATCACATTGTAACTTCACACTTACACATTTTAGCCCTATTACTTTTATCTTTCAAAGATGTTTTTTTACTGAAACTATAGGTGCCTAAAAAAGTGGTAGCCAAATCTCTTAGGCCATTTTGAAATGGAAGGAATTGTGCAGAACAGTTTTATTATATTTTTATATGGAGTATCCCTCAAAGTCTCTTCTCTTGGCTCTTCTCAGCATGCATCGTGTATAACATGTCCTTGGAATGCACACCTTTATGCTGCTAGTATCCCATGATCCTGGAATTTTTACTGCTTTCTAGATAGTAACATTATTTTTGATGGTCGAATAAGTCTTTAAAGTTTTCAATTTAAAACATGTCTTCAGAGAAACTTCTCTCATCTCCTAATCAGTCATTCTGATTTTGTTGTTCAACTTCTTAAAAAATATTTAATTCCATTTTTTTTTTTTTTTTTAATTTGACCAGAGAGAGAAAGAAAGAAGGTGAGAAACCAAGCAGCGAGAGGAAAAGTGAGAAACCAAGCAGCCAGGTCCAGGACTTGAACCTTGGTCAGCCATGTGGGAGTCTAGCACCCTTAACCACCACATCACCTGCCGGCCTCTTGTTATTAAACTTTTATCACTGAAAATAATTCGTGTATAGTCTCACATTCATTTAAAATCTTCCTAGTGTAAGCTATATATATTTTTTTTGGAGAGGTTTTTGCTATGGGGCACGCGCGCTCGCCAGAAAGAGAGACAGAAAGCAGAATGGCCATGCAGCAATCCCTTCTCCTCCATTCCCCTCTTCAGATCTTTGGCACGCAGGCACCCGCACCCCACATGAGTTTAAGCCAGCGGGTCCAGGACTCGAACTGCAGTCAACTACGTGGGAGTCCAACAATATAGCCATTACGCCAACTGCTGGTCACTGGTATTTTTACTGAATTGTATGAATGCTATACTGAAAGGTGTCTTCTGAAGTCAGTTAACATTCATTGGTATAGATTCTTGTCTTTCGAAATAAATCATTTTAGGGGCCAGCAGGGAGTGTGGTGGCTGGGGCGGCTGGACTCCCCCATGGCTAACTGCAATTCAAGTCCTGGACCTGGCAGCTTGCCTTCTCACTTTCTCTCTCTCTCTGGTCAACTTCAAAAAACTAATGACAGTGAACAAAATTAAATAAAATAATTCTTAAAAAAAATGAAAAATGAATCTTACTCTAAGTCTGAACAATTTCATATAGTTAGAAGGCAATGCTATTGATGTATATGTAATTACATGTACATCATGTATATGTAATTGTATTTATAGATGTATATGTGTATACGTATGTATAATATTGGTGTATATATAATCTGTTTTTTTAAAAAAAGAGTGGTATGTTTTTCTTTATAGAATCAAGATTCCACGTATTTCCCTATCAATCTCAGATAGCAATTTTCCAAGAGTTTTTACTAAGAGCAACAAAATATAACAAACTACAAATGCTTGGAGACGACCTGAGGACTGATAAGAAGATAATTCTCGTTGAAGTAAGGATAGATTTTCTTTTCTTTTTCCTTTTTTTTAAAGAATTACTTATTTAATTCCATTTGTTACTAGTGTTTTTTAATTTGACTGGAGAGAGAGAAAGGGAAAGTGAGAATGTAAGCTGCCAGGTCTGAGACTCAAACTGTGATCGGCCACATGGGAGTCTGGTGCCTTTAACCACCAAACCACCTGTGGGGCCCCAAGTTAAGGACAGCTTTTAAAATACTACTAGAGTTATTGAGTAAACAATTTTTTTCCCTAGTTTTTATTTTTTATTATAGGGTTCTTGTACTCATCAGAGACAGAGATAAAGAGGGAGAGAGAGAAGAGAGAGAAAATTAAATCACCCCCGGGGGAGATGGCCATGGCCTCAGCCCCTTCTCTTATTTTCTGCTCTTAGTCCTTTAGGTATGTGCACATGTGCGTGGTTTTCAAGCAGGTGGGGTAGGGGTTCAAACCACATAGCCATGTGGGATCCAGTGCCTTCATCACCACACCACCTGCTTGCCCCCAGTTTTAAGAATTTTGCTAATGTGATAACATTAACTCCCAGACTGTGGTGTAGTGATTAAGGGAACTAGACCTCCTGTGATGACCACTGAGTTCAAGTCCTGGTCTGGTGCATGTGAGGTTTGTGCGCACCCTTGTGTGTGCAAAATCCCCACAGGATGGAGAAATGCAGGAGAAGAGATTGTAATATGGCCATGTTCCACTGGGGTGGTTTCTCCCTCTTCCTCTCTCAATTACTTCTCTGTGAAAACTACAGTTGGTAAAGCTACTCAGAAATTTGATTGAGGAGCTACCAGATGGCATGGTAGTTAAGGTGCTGGACTTCCACATGACTGATCACAGTTCAAGCTCCAGACCTATCAGCCTAAAAAGCATGCCTGGCATGTGTGCAACCAAAATCCCAGGAAGAGAATGGAGATGGAAGGATTGCAGCATGGCCATTCCCCCTGAGGGGTGATTTCTCACTTCCCTCTTACAGTCTTTCTGTGTTTCTCCAGAGAGCACACATGCCCAATGGCAAAAACCTTAAAAAAAATATTTTTATCAAAAATTGAAGTTCTCGGCACCAGCAGTTAGCGTAATGGCTATGTCGCTGGACTCCCACGTAGTCGACAGCGGTTCGCGTCCCAGACCTGGTGGCTTAAACTCACGCAGGGCGCATGTGCGTGTGTGCCCAAGATTGCGAGAGGAGAATGGAGGAGAAGGGATTGCGGTGTGACCATCCCCCCTGGGGGGTGATTTCTTGCTTTCTGTTTCTCTGTCTGTCTCTGTCTGTCTGGCGAGCACATGCACCCTATAGCAAAAAACTCTCAAAAAAAAAAAAAAATTGAGGTTCTCAGGGACCAGCAGTTAGCATAATGGCTATGTCGCTGGACTCTCACGTAGTCGACCGCGGTTCGAGTCCCAGACCCGGTGGCTTAAACTCACGCCGGGCGTATGTGTGTGCGTGCCCAAGATCCCAAGAGGAGAATGGAGGAGAAGGGATTGTGGCGTGGCCATCCCCTCTGGGGGGTGATTTCTCGCTTTCTGTCTCTCTGTCTCTCTCTCTTTGGCGAGTGCACATGCCCTATGACAAAAAACCTCTCCAAAAAAAAAAAATTTAAAAAAAATTGAGGTTCTCATAATGCATATAATTAGTATATTAGCCATTTCGTATGTCCTTAATATTTTTGAAATTTCTGGTTAAAATATGTAAGTTAGGGAACCAACAGGTGGCATGGTGCTTAAGGTGTTGAATTACCCCATAGCTAACTGTGGTTTGAGTCCCAGACCCCGCAGCTTAAAAATGCTGATATGTGCCTGTGTGCCCAGAATCCCAGGAAGAGAATACAGGAGAGAGGATTACAGCATGGCCATCCCCCCAAGGAGTGATTTCTCACTTTCCCTCTCTGTCTCTCTCTGTCTCTGGTCAGCAGTTGTTCCCTATGGTGAAAACCTAAAATAAAGTCAGATAAACCTTTTTTCTATCTTGACAAATATAAGCCCCAAAATAAACTCACAATGAAATAAAACTGAACTGGTATTTTTCCTGTGTTTTCAATAGGATTTACCTAACCAGTTTTATCGAGATTCTCATGCGTTACATGAAGTTCTAAGGTAAGTTTCAGTGAGGTATTCTAAAACCCTAAATTAAATGGCAAGTGCCTTAAATTTCAACATTGCTGTATTTTATTATTTTAGGAAATATGTGCGAATTGGTCGATGTCCTCTTATATTTATAATCTCTGACAGCCTCAGTGGAGATAATAATCAAAGGTTACTATTTCCCAAAGAAATTCAGGAAGAGTGTTCTATCTCAAATATTAGGTAAGCCATTTCAAATATAAAGTAAGGAATAAATTTCTGTTTATAATGTTAGTATCCCTGTTATGTTTTTAAATAAATCATTTACTACCATCTTTCTCCATAAAACTTTTACAGTTTCAACCCTGTGGCACCAACAATAATGATGAAATTTCTTAATCGGATAGTGACTATAGAAGCTAATAAGGTAAGTGTGATTGATTTGGATATTGGATAAGCCCATCTTAAGTGATATTACATAAACTGGAAGAGTTGAAAACATGATTATGGTACTTAAATTTGTACTACACTCATAAGATGTGTGTTTTTAGTAAATTTAGGAAATACTAATTTAAAAAACAGATTTTTTTAATTGCCAGCGGGTAGGTGTACTCCACCAAGAGTAGAGAAAACACCCCCTAACCCTCACAAATGGGGCATACTTAGGCCAGAATCCCTTCTCCATTTCTCCATTCTGTAGGGAATTTGGGCATATACGCACATATGCCTGGCATGTTTTTTAAACCACCTGCACTGGTGTTTGAACCACATGGTTGGCTATGTTGGGTCCAGTTTTCTTAACCACTGTTCCATGAGGCTGACCCTGCATCATTTCTTTTATACTTGCCAAATGAGATGATGAAAATAAGCTAATGAACTTTCTAATCTCAGAACATGGGTTTTTCTGCTACAAACCAACTAGATCTTTTATAAATACAATTTTTGTTGAACTGCCAGGATCATAGGAAGTAAGAGAAATCTCCAAGGAAGAAGTTGTTTTGAGGATCAAACACATTACTGTATATAGAGCACTTACCTGATTACTAGCAGCTATTAATAGTGAAAAATTAGAAATAAGCTGAACCTTAAAATAAGAGTTATTACAGTCACTATCGTGCCACTAATTACTTGAGAGTATTTAATGACATGGGGAAATGCACATAATTTAACATCATAATTAAAAAACACAAGATGGGAGTTGGCAGGTTGTGTGGTGGTTAAAGGCACTGAATTCCCACATGGCCAACCGTGGTTCAAGTCCTATACCTGGCAGCTGCTTTCTTGCTTCCCCTTACTCACTCTCTGTCTCTGTCTGGTCAAATTAAAAATTAATAACAACAAATGTAATCAAATAAATAACTCTGTTATGGAACAAAAATAATAATGAGACATGGGAGACCAGCAGATGACATAATGGTTATGTCACTAGACTCCCACATGGTTGACTGCGGTTTGAATCCCAGACCTGGCAACTTAAAATTCAGGCCAGACATGTGTGCATGCGTATGTGCCCAAAATACCAAGAGGAGAATGGAGGAGGGGGGATTGTGAGGCCATCCCCCCAGAGGATGGTTTCTCACTTTCTGTCTGTCTCTCTTTCTCCAGTGAGCACATGTTCCCAATAGCAAAAAATCTCACTAAAAAAGAAATTTTTTTTTAAATAAAATAACAGAAGTGATGTAGTAGTTAAGGTGCTGGACTCCCAGTGGCCAATCATGGTTCAAGTCTTAGACCCGAAGACTTTAAACTCATGTCGGGCACATGTGTATGCATGCCCCAGATCCCAAGAGGAGAATGGAGTAGAAGAGATTGCAATGTGGTCATCCTCTTGGGCGGTGATTTCTCACTTTCTATCTCTGTCTCTCTGGTGAGTGCATACACCCTATAGCAAAATTCTCTAAAAAAGAGAGACTCTTTTCTTAGAATCTTACTTTCATTAAGCTTACAAAAATACAGCTTGGACCTAAGACATTTATGGGACACAGAAATGGATTATTATCTGTTGATAACGTGTATTGTATCTTCAACTGGACTGGTGTAAAGTGTATTTATGTTGGGTAAATTTACTTTATAAGTAGTAATGATGTTAATGATGTATAGTGATTGAATGTATAAAATAAATTAAGAAAAAAACACAAGATAAAAAAATAAAAATACAGCTTGTCTTTTTTTTTTTTTTTTTTTAAAGAAAATAGTTTTTAAATTTAATTTTCTCATTTTAGAATGGAGGAAAAATTATTGTTCCTGATAAAACTTCTCTAGAGTTGCTCTGTCACGGATGTTCTGGTGATATCAGAAGTGCAATAAATAGTCTTCAGTTTTTGTCTTCAAAAGGTAACTGTGGAAGACAGGCTTATATAGTGTTAAATCGGTGACTTTATTTTAATTATCCATGAAATGAAATGAAATTAAACATATGTAACTTATAATTGACAGATACTCACCTACATTTTTTTTTTTACTTAGACTGATTTAAAATGACATATGTACACGGGTATGTACACTCTTCTATGGATATGTCCTAGTACATATTCTGATAACTATTTGAGATAAAACTTGACTCATTTACCTGGTTTGCTACTTTACCTTTAAAAATTAATTTGGAATAAGACTTCTTGAGGGAAAATCCAGCTTTGCCATGTACCACTTGTATAGCCCTATGTAACTTCATCTTTATTTGTCTTCATTTTCCTTTTATCATTTTTTTAAAGAATTATCTATTTAATTTTATTTATAGTCATCATCATTATTTTTAGTTTGTTACAAGGCATGAGTGCACACCAGTGAGAGACAGACAGGAAAAGTGAGAAAGTGAACTACCAGGTCTGGGACTCAAACTGTGGTTGGCCATGTGGGCTATTACTTACTATCTTAACAACTATGCTCTCAGCTGGGCTATTACTTTTTTAATTGCTAGAGGATATGTGCAGTCACCAGAAGGAGAATGCGAATTGCTTCGATGGGGCATAGACACAGTGTAATCTTTCTTCCTCTATTTTTCTTTCTTTCTCTACTTTTTTTTTTTTTTTAAGAGAGAGATTTTTTGCTATAGGGTACGTATGCTTGCTAGAGAAACAGAAAGCAAGAAATCACCCCCAGGGGAGATGGCCATGCCACAGTCCCTTCTCCTCCATTTTCTCCTTAGGACTTTGGGCATGCGTGCACAGGTACCTGGTTTGAGTTTTAATGTAAACATTATGCCATCTGCTGGTCGCCTATTTCTCCTTTCTTAAAAAAAAAAAAAAAAAAAAAAAAAACTTATTTACATTTGTTGTTGTTGTTATTATTACTTAATTTTACCAGAGAGAGAGAAAGGGAGAAAGCAAGCTGGCAGATCCAGGACTTTAACCGTGGTCGGTCATGTGAGAATCCAGCACCTTTAACCACCACCGTACCTGCTGGCCCCTATTTCTCCTTCTTATCAGGATTATAGGCATGTGCACACATATACATGGCATTTTCCCAAGACATTAGGGCCACTATTTGAACCACAGTTTGCCATGTGGGATCCAGCTCCCAATGCATAATGCTCACCCAATTTGTATGTGTTGAGCTCTCTTCTTTTGAGAACTTACAGGATTGTGTGAAGACTACTGAGATAACACTTGAACCATGCTTGTTTCAATGCTTGGTATATATTAAGGCCTCAGTTAATGGCCAGCCATTCATAGGTTTAATGGTATTGTGATGGTGCAGCCTCTGTGTACAGCTGGCAGCGTGCTGGACTGTGAAGCTAGAAGCTGTATGCTCACCAGGGTTCGAGTGTCCTGTAAGGTTGGCCTGGACACCCTGGGCATGTGCACAGAATGTGCCCCTGAACCCTGGGGTGCTGGAGAAGGGTATTGTGGTGTGACCAAGTTCTACGGAGGGTACCTTGCTCTCTCTCTCTCTCTCTCGTGTGCATGCTTATGCTCTATCATGAATTTAAAATGAAAAGAAATAGTTTCCTAAGGTAGGTTAACTTTTGACTTCATTGCATAGTAACATATCATCTGTTTAGTAAGTTTATTTTCCCTTACATATAAAAAGTATAAATACCTGTGAGAGAGTAAAAAGGCACCTCCGCTAATGGCAGTAAAGTACATTTTTACTTAAATGGTCACGGTTTACTGCAAAGTTCTTATCAGGAAGTATTTATTTATTTTTTATTTTTTATTTTTTTTGGAGAGGTTTTCGCTATAAGGGCGCGTGCGCTCGCAGACAGACAGAGACATAGAGACAGAAAGCGAGAAATCACTCCCCGGGGGGATGGTCACGCCACAATCCCTTCTCCTCCATTCTCCTCTCGGGATCTTGGGCACGCACGCACACACGCCCAGCATGAGTTTTAAGCCACCGGGTCCTGGACGCGAACCACGGTCAATTATGTGGGAGTCCAGTGACATAGCCATTACGCTAACTGCTGGTTCCCGTCAGGAAGTATTTAGGCAGCAACATAGTTGATGCTTAACATTGAGGAATGGACCATAAAGAAAAAGCTCTTTAAGGAACTCATAAAACTTGCTGGAAGTGTTAGTGTTCCTGCCCACAAGTGTAAGCTCTTCATGTAATTTGCATCTTCGTTTTCAAAGTAACTGTAGAATAGGCAGCCTAACAGAACTAAAACCAGAATTCTGCTTATTCCTATAGAAACATAAATGTAAATGGTGCTTGGATCAATGCTGGAATGATAGGTTGGGAAGGTGGAAATGGGCCGGTTTGGGATCCTAACTAGTACACTATTGCTCTGGGTTGAGAAATTTTAAGAGAAAGAAGATAATAATTTCTGAGTGGGCCAGGAACTTTATTAGCAATTGTATGTTTTTTCATTTAATTCTCAGATCAGCCTAAGGAAATAGACAATACTGTGTCATATCCAAGTCCTGTGTTCTTTCTGCTATTCAAGACTATTCTTTGTTGTTTTTTACATATAGCTTTTCTATGTTACAATCCTCCTGCCTTAGCCTGCCTGAGCCACGGGGATTATAGGTCCACACCACTGCACCAGGCCTTTAGTTTGGACTGGGAATTGAACCCTGGCTTCCCATGTGGTCCCAGCCTGTGGAATACAGTGTCTTAGTATGTACTACCACGACTGGGGCTTGAGGCTGCTTTTAAATCACATGATCCAAGTAGTTTTGTTTTTCATTTGCTACAGGGTACATGTGCTTGCTGAGAGAAGTGGGTCGGGAGGTGGCCAGACCACAATCCCTTTTTATCCATTTCTCCTTTCAGGATTTTGGGTATGCACACACGTGTACCCAGAGTGTTGCTCAAGGTGCCAGGTCTGGGACTCGAACTGCACAATTAACCAGGTTTGATCCTGCTGCCTTAACCACTACTCCACCAGCTGGCCCTATTCTGAGTTCTCAGTAGGACTTTTTAAATATATATTTTTTTAGCTTTTTTGATATAGAGCACATGCACTGGCTAGAGACAGAGAGAGGGAGAAAGTGAGAAAATATCCCTCTAGGGGGTGGGGGAAAGGCCACACCACAATTCTTTCTCTTATGATTTTGGGACTCATGCACATGTGCCCAGCATGATTTTCAAGCCATCAGGTCTGGGACTCAAATCATGGAACTGGCCCTATGGGACCCAGTGCCTTAACCTCCACAATACCTGCTGGCCCTCAGCAGGACTTCTAAGTGAAGTTTGGGCCCAGCTATGGTGGCACAGTTGGTAGACTGCTGAACTGCAGTACCAGAAGTCACATGGCAACTGAGGTTTGAATCCACTCAGTTGGCTTAAAGTGCTCAGGGCAAGTGTGTAAGTGCCCAAGATCCAACAAGCTCTATCCTACTTGACACTCTAGAGCCAGAGGATGGTGCTCCCCTCCCCTACTCCTGGTACATGTACATACTGGTGTTTGTGCATGCACACACACTATCAGGAATAAAGAAAAAAAGTTGTTTTTAATTTCTGGAGGACACATGCACTTACCACATGGAAACAGAGAGGGAGAGGAAAGAGCGTACAACCCCAGTAGGCTGTGGTCAAACATCAATCTCTGCTTTCATTTCCCCATCCTGTTGGGATCTTGGGATACATACATATGCACCCAGTGTGTTTCTCAAACCTCTGGGCCTGGGACTCAAACAGTACTGTTGGCCGTGTTTTGGGATCCAGCTCACTTAACCAGGGCCAGCCCATGAGATACTTTTTTTATTTTTTTTTTATTTTTTTATTTTTTATCATATCTTCTTCATATTACATTGGATTACATATAACTTTACTGTGTGTTACATTGTTTCTTCAAAAGGGAATGCCATGCACGTCAGTCAGTACAGAGACATTAATCTCCCCACTTCAACATTCCATATCTTTTCTGTTTTCCCCAATCATTATCTTTATTATTCTAATTATTTTTATAAAACAGTCAATAGCTATTTCTCGTTTTGCTTTTAAAAATACTTTGCCCGTCATGAAACACTTCTCAGACCAATCCAGTTGAGAATTCTATACATGTCATCATCAACAGTTAATAAGCCCTATCTGTTTCTCACTAACGTCCTGTCTCTCTATTGTTCACTTGCTATCTTTCTCTATCCTCTTCTCTTCACTTACCCCATTCCACACTGTCCTATTCTCATTAAGTACCTTCACTGTGTTTATGTCCTCCGAATTTTTGCTCTCTATTATAGAGTGCGGATAGTCGGTATATATTGAGTGGATACATACAATATCTTTCTTTCATAGCCTGGCTTACTTCACTCAGCAATAGATCCTCCGTATCTGACCATTTTCTATCAAATTCCAGGGTCTTGTTATTTTTTATGGCTGAGTAGTATTCCATAGAGTATATATACCACACTTTTCCAATCCATTCATCAGTTTGTGGACATTTAGGTTGGTTCCATGTCTTGGCAATTGTGAATAATGCTGCAATAAACATGGATGTGCAAGCACTTTTCTGACTGAGCGTTCTCCTGTCTTTTGGGTAAATACCCAGAAGTGGGATTGCTGGATCAAATGGTAGTTCTATTTGTAGATCTTTGAGGAACCTCCATATTGTTCTCCACAGTGGTTGAACTAGTTTACATTCCCACCAACAGTGTAGGAGGGTTCCCTTTTCACCACATCCCCGCCAACACTTATCACTTTTTATATTCTTAATCTTTGCCATTCTGACAGGGGTTAGGTGGTATCTCATTGTGGTTTTTATCTGCATCTCCCTTATGATGAGGGATGTCGAGCATTTCCTCATATGCTTTTTGGCTGTTCGTATGTCTTCCTTAGAGAGACTTTTGTTCAGCTCACTTTCCCATCTTTTAATCGGGTTAATCATTTTTTTTCGCATAAGGCACTTGAGTTCCCTATGTATTCTCGTTATCAGTCCCTTGTCTGAGGCATATTTAACAAAAATATTTTCCCATTCTGAGGGTTGTCGGTTCACACTTGTTACTGTGTCCTTTGCTGTGCAGAAACTTCTTAGTCTAATATAGTCCCACTTGTCTATTTTAGGGATTATTGCCTGTGGCACGGCTTGCTGGCTTCCACCGCGCGCGGGGCGCACGGCTTGCTGCAAGATACTTTTAAATAACAGTTTATCTTGTCTTAGTACTGTTAGAAACTCGGAGGCTTCTGATTCAGTCCATGTATTTTATAGTTACTGCTTATTATGAAAATATGTTTCAGTAGAATGTTTAGTCTGCCTATATCTTAAATATCTTAGCTTTAATTTTCATATTTCAGTTGTATTGTAAATACTTGTCACTTGGTGTATCTATTTTAGGAGAGAACAATTTATGGCCAAGGAAGAAAGGAATGTCAGTAAAATCAGATGCTGTGCTGTCAAAACCAAAACGAAGGAAAAAGCCCGATAGGATTTTTGAAAATGATGAGATTCAAGCTATTGGTGGCAAAGATGTTTCTCTCTTTCTCTTCAGAGCTTTGGGGAAAATTCTTTATTGTAAAAGTAAGAAACTTTATAATTTTTTAAATCTAATGTATATTTGTTTTATAGTGGAAACAAAATACCATGTATTTTTAAAAAGCATGTTTAATTCTGTTACAGGAAAGAGGTAGGACTAGGTGGGAAACATTTGGCAAGGCCCAAGACAGCAGGAAAATGTATTTAGATATTTTCTAATTGTAATTAGGGTTAACTTTGAAAACAAACTACTCCAGGTCATATTTATGTCTGTAAATTTTTATTTTTTTCCCTTAAGAGAGATTTTTTCTATAGCACACATGTGCTTGCCAGAGAGACAGAAACAGAAAGTAAGAAATCACCCCACAGGGGAAATGACCACACCTTAATCCCTTCTCCTCCAGTCTTCTCTCAGGATTTTGAGCACGTACTTAATTGTGCCCAACATGTTTCAAGCCGCCAGGTCCCAGCCTCAAGCCACAGTGACTATGTGACCATTATGCTATCTGCTGGTCCCTATTTTTATAGTTTTTTGAAGGTGAAACATCAGTCCCTCTAGACTTTTAGGGTCACATATTGGTAGCTCAGAGCTCCCCTAACTCTGTGCTCCCCTGGCACCTTAAAAATTGCCTAATAGCTGAAGGTTCCTTTCCATCGTCTTCTATTTCTTTGTACACTTTACTAACTTGCTGTCTCCCCAGCCAGAAATAGATACTCTTTGCTCTCTCTGACTTTTTTTTTTTCTTTTTTTTTTGGAGAGGTTTTTGCTATAGGGCGCGTGTGTTCGCCAGACAGACAGAGACAGACAGAGAGATAGCGAGAAATCACCCCCCAGGGAGGATGACCACACTGCAATCTCTTCTCCTCCATTCTCATCTCGGGATCTTGGGCACGCACACACACGTGCCGGCGTGAGTTTAAGCCACCGGGTCCGGGACTTGAACCGTGGTTGACTACGTGGGAGTCCAGCGACATAGCTATTACGCTAACTGCTGGTCCCTCTCTGACTTTTTTGATGCCTAGTCCACTTCAGCTCTTCTGTCCACTTGTGCTCAACTCTTATCTCCCAGTTGTTCCTCCTGTTAATAAAATCCCAAACTTTTTTTTTTAATGTTGAAAACTTTTTAATTGAATAAATTTAAGAATAGCATTAACATGTTTTGAAAGGAGTTCGGAGAGTATCCATACCTCTTTCTCCATATTCAGGCCCCACATTGGGCACCACTTGCCAGGAACTGCTCTTCTGAACATGGTTTTTCTGAGTGAGGAGGTAATTGTTGGGAATTTCAGCACCACACTAACACACTAAATAGATCATCTGTTCTTCCTTCAACCCGCCGCTGAGTTTCCCCCACTTGGAAAGTTCTGGAGCTGGAGCCCGCATCTGATGCTGGCAGCTTGGAGGGCAGCTAGCGCGTCTGTGTGACTGCAGGGCATGCTGCATGGCTTCTACTCAGCAGCACGGACAATGAAATCCCAGACTTCTGTACTTGATGTAGCAAATACTTGTTTTCAATCTTAGGATCTTGAAGGAACAAAGTTGGGATTTCTGAATGGAAAACTTCACACCATCTGAGAAAATTAAATGGACATCAGTTAGGTGGCAGTAAAGCCAGTCCTCCATCCCTGAGCCTTCTTAACCTCTGAACATTAGTAACCATTCCTACCTGATGCTTTTCCTTTTACCCTTTCTTTTTCTCTCCAACATTTATTTATATTCTCTTCCTCTAGAGAATGAGGTTCCTGTTTCTTATGCAGAGAGCAGCATCTTCCTACATAGTAAATAAAGCAGTAAAGACTTCTATATTGAGATGAGAATAAAAGGAAGAAAGCAATCTAGAGCTGGTAAAGGTGAAGTAGACATGCTTTGAGAAAAGGAATACTTTAAGTCCAGAAAAACCATAATTGAACCACAGACTTTTGAATTTAGTTTTGCTGGTGATGATAAAATAGGCAACTCACATAAGCTTTCAGATATTTATTCTTTTCTGTTGTTAAGGATTTGCTTAGTATTTTGTCATTATGTGTTTAAAGTATTGAAAGTCTTCAGACGAGAGGTGCTATGTAATTATAAAGAAGTATTATCTTTAATAATTCCAGAAATTTTTTACAGGAGCATCTTTAACAGAAGTAGACTCACCTCGGTTGCCTTCTCATTTATCAGAGTATGAACGGGATACATTACTTGTTCATCCTGAGGTAAGATTTTTAATAAGAACTAGTGTTTACAACATGTTACAGTGTTCACAAAAGATATATTATTTGTGTGTACGTAATCTCATCACTTCATTTTTATATGTACATATATATGCTTTTTTTGTAGGAAGTTGTAGAAATGTCACATATGCCAGGAGAGTTATTTAATTTATATCTTCACCAAAACTACGTGGATTTCTTTATGGAAGTAGATGATCTCGTGAGAGCCAGCGAATTTCTGAGTTTTGCAGATATCCTCAGTGGTGACTGGAATGTAAGACCATTTGACTTAAATGTTTTTGTTTATGAGTATTTTCTCAGGTCTGAAAAAAGAAAATTGATTTTTTTAAACTTAATTATTTGATTTTATGTGCCTCTTTCTAAAAACTATACTAAAATTAGGACCAGCAGGTGGCGTAATGGCTACGTCACTGGACTCTCATGTCGTCAACCACGGTTTGAGTCCCTGAACTGGTGGCTTAAATTCACGCCTGGCACACGTGCAAGCATGCCCAAGATCCCAAGAGGAGACTGGAGGAGAAGGGATTGTGGCATTGCCATCCCCCCACCAGGGGCTGATTTCTCACTTTCTGTCTCTCTGTCTCTCTTTGTCTCTCTCTGTCAAGTGCACGTGCCTTTTAGCAAAAACCTCTCAAAAAAAAAAAAAAAACATGCTGGGACCAGCAGTTGGCGTAATAGCAATGTTGCTGGACTCCCATGTAGTCGACTGTGGTTTGAGTCCCGGACCCAATGGCTTAAACTCATGCCAGGCGCATGTGCGTGCGTGCCCAAGATCCCAAGAGGAGACTGGAGGAGAAGGGATTGTGGCATTGCCAGCCCCCCACCAGGGGCTGATTTCTCACTTTCTGTCTCTCTGTCTCTCTTTGTCTCTCTCTGTCATGTGCACGTGCCTGTTAGCAAAAACCTCTCAAAAAAAAAAAAAAAACCACTATGCTAAAATTGAATTCATTTAACCCAATGTTAATAAATGAAACTTCAGAAGTTAAAGTCATTCTAGGATCAGCAGTTGGCGTAATGACTATGTTGCTGGACTCTCATGTAGTCGACTTGGTTCGAGTCCCAGACCCAGTGGCTTAAACTCATGCCAGGCGCATGTGCGTATGTGCCCAAGATCTTGAGAAGAGAATGGAGAAGGGATTGCGAAGTGGCTATACCCCCTGGGGGTAATTTCTCACTTTCTGTCTCTCTCTGTCTTTCTGGCGAGCACTCGCGCCCTATAGCAAAAACCTCTCAAAGAAAAAAAAGAAGTTAAGGTGATTTTTTTTTTTTAATGATAATAGGTTATGAATTTTTCCCCCTCTTTAGAAAATTTTGGCCAGAGAGTTGGGGGTGGAAGGGGTGTGAAGGAGCACCCCCAGGGGCATGACCATGGCACAGTCCTTTCTCCTATATCTCTTTCTCCTTTTGGGATTTTGGGCACACATGCACCCACACCAGGTGTTTGACAAGCTGTCAGGTCTAAGTTTTGAACCACACATTCGGCTCTGGAATTTAGGTGCCTTAACCATCACCCCACTGATTTTTTCTAAAATTACTTGCTGATTTTAGAAGTGATATATACTCAGAAAATTTGACAACCATTGGAAAGTAGATAGAAGGGAAAAGAACTGTACATCTTATACTTTCAGCTATTTTTTTTTTTTAATTTTTTTTTCCTTTCCAGTTGCTGGAAGGCATGTGGAACTTAACCATGGGGAGCAAGAGGGAGGAATCACCCCTCAGTGAGTGGTCAGCCGCAATCCTTTTACTGCCATTTCTTCTACTTGCCAGGATTTTGGGCATACACATAAGTGTTCCTGGCTTCACCTCTTTTCTCTCGAGTTTTGGGCAAGCATGGACACATACCTGGTGTGAGTTTTAAGCTGCTGGGTCCAGGACTTGAACTGTATCGACTATGTGGGAGTCTAGTGATATAACCATTATGCCATCTGCTGGTCCCACCCAGCTAACTTTTAAATGCATATGTTTTATATACTGCAACTATTTACTATAAAGTTTGTTTTTTTTTTCTTTTTTTTAATTATTTATTTTATTTTATTTTATTTTATTTACTATTACCAACCTTCAATTTGACCAGAGAGGAGAAGGAGAGAGTGAGAAAGCAAGCTTCCAGGTCTGGGGCTGGAACCGTAGTCAGTCATGTGGGAGTCCAGCGCCTCACCCACTGTGCCATCTGCCAGCCCCTATATATTTTTCTTAACATGACCAATATAGCAGTCACTAACCTCATGTGGATATTTAATTTTTAATGAAAAATTTAGTTTTGGGACCAGCAGATGGCGTAATGGTAACATCGCTGGTCTCCCACATAGTTGACCACAGTTCCAGTCCTGGACCTGGTGGCTTGAAACTCATGCCAGGTGCATGTGCATGCATGCCCAAAGTCCCAAGAAGAAAATGGAGGAGAAGGGATTGTGGCATGACCATCCCCCCTGGGGAGTGATTTCTTGTTTTCTGTTTTTCTTTGTCTCTCCAGCTGGCAAGTACATATGTCTTATAGCAAAAATCCTTCTCTTAAAAAAAAAATTGTGGTTACTCTGTCACACTAGACATCTCTGGTGGTTGATAGGCACATGTGATTTGTATCTACTATATTGAGCAACCAAAATATAAAATATGTCCATTAACAAAGGAAGTTCTCTTGGATAACACCTTTAATACGTTGATATTTTCTGTGTTTATATTATTGAGTAGCTTTAATAACTGAAGATAACCAAGTTAAAAAAGAACCATTTATGATACATAGTGTTATTACTTGGCAATTATATTTGCTTAATTTTTAAACAGTTGCTTCTTTTTTATTTTGGAATTTTTCAACCTAGAGATAAGTTAAAAGATTAGTACAAGGAATATCTTTATACCTCTAACTTTTGTTTATGAGTTTTTCACATTATGCCATATTTACTTAATCTCTATGTATTTACACACTTGTTTTTGGCTAAATAATTGGAAATAATTGGAGACATCATGACACTTAAGATATTATTCTATTAGACACAATACAGCTATCATACTCAAGGAAATTAACATTGATTTGGTAATGTATTTGCCTAAAAAATGTATTCACAATTGTCTTCCCCACCCCATCCAAGCCATTCACACATTGATTTTGCTTGTTATGTCTCAGTTGAATTTGTTTTTAAATAATGTTGTAGCACTGTTATTTTTAGGGCTATTTTTGGTGATATTAAAAAAAAGTGAACACATAGAAACTAAATATGGTTAATCTTTTGTGTGTCAAAAGTACCAATAATACTAGTATATCTTATGAATCTCTTATTTTCTTCATTCCACTTATCTCATTTATTAGACACGCTCTTCACTCAGGGAATATAGTACATCTGTAGCCACAAGAGGTATAATGCATTCCAACAAAGCCCGAGGATTTGCTCATTGCCAAGGAGGAGGATCAAGTTTTCGACCTTTACACAAACCCCAGTGGTTTCTGATAAATAATAAGGTAAAAAAGGAATTATATAGTTTAAATGCAATTTATTTTAAATAGGTGAAATTAATGATATGTAAATTATATCTCAATAAAGCCATTTTTAATATTAAAAAAGTTTCATTTTATTTGAAGAATTATTTATATCTTAAATTTTATTTATTATTTTTTAATTTATTTGACCAAAGAGAGAAAGAGAAAGTGAGAAAGGAAGCTGCCAGGTGCAGGACTCAGACTGCAGTCATCCATGTGAGAGTCCAGTACCTTAACCACCATGTCACCTGCTGGCCCCAAAATGTTTCATTTTTAATAAGATGGTAGGGCCTGTAATTTTTTTAGAATTATGGTAAAATATGAAAAGGGCAGTGCTCTTGAATACTTAATCTTTTTATTGTTGTTGTTTAAGGTTTTGCAATAAGGATGTATGTGCTCACCAGAGAGAGACAGTGAGAGGGAAAGTAAGAAATCACCCCCCCAGGGGTATGGCATACTGTAATCACTTTGCTGTTCTCCTGGGATTTGGGGCATGCACTCACATGTGCCCAGCGTAATGCTTTCTTTCCTTTTTTTTTTTTAAAGAGATTTTTGCTATATGGCATGTGCATTTGCTGGAGGGACAGAGACAGCGAAAAATCACTCCCCAGAGGGAATTGCGACGCCATAGTCCCTCCTCCTCCATTCTCCTCTTGGGACTTTGGACATGTACACACAGTTGTCTGGCATGAGTTTCAAGCCTCCGGGTACGGGACTTGAACCATGGTTAGCCATGTGGAAGTCCAGCAATGTAACCATTACGCCATCTGCTGCTTCCCAGTGTTATTTATTTATTTTGGGGGGGTGGGGCAGAAAATTTTGCTACAAGGGCACATACACTCTCTGGAGAAAAAGAGCGAGAGATCACCCCTAGGGGGGTGGCCATGCCACAATTCCTTCTCATTCTTGTTTTTTTTTTTTTTTTTTTTTTTAAGAGAGATTTTCACTGTAGGGCGCGTGCGCTCGCCAGACAGACAGAGAGAGACATAGAGACAGAAAGCGAGAAATCACCCCCCAGGGGGGATGGTCACGCCGCAATCCCTTCTCCTCCATTCTCCTCTCGGGATCTTGGGCACGCACGCACATGCGCCCGGCGTGAGTTTTAAGCCACTGGGTCCGGGACACGAACCGAGGTCGACTACGTGTGAGGCCAGCGACATAGCCATTAGGCTAACTGCTGGTTCCCCCTTCTCATTCTTTTGTCCTTAGGATTTGGGGCATGTGTGCACACACACGTGCCTAGCATGAGTTTTAAGCCTCTGGGTCTGAGACTCAAACTGTGATCGACTGTGGGAATCCAGTGACGTAATGGTTCCCCAGCACCTTTTTTTTTTTTTTAAGAATTATTTAATTTTATTTATTCATTCATTTTTAATTGTTTTTCATTTAACCAGTGATGGAGACAGAGAGAAGGAAAGTGGAAAATCAAGCCACCAGGCCCAGGATTCAAACTATGGTTGGCCATGTGGGAGCGTCCAGCGCCCAAACCACCATGCCACCTGCTGGTCCCTCCAGCACATTTTAAGCCTCTAGGTCCAGGATTCATACCACAGTTGGCCATGTGGGAATCCAGAGCCTTAACTGCTATACCACCTGCTGTCAATCATTTTTAGAAGAAAAACACTGAGAATTTGAAAGTACATAATTATATTGCATTTTAGTTTTAATTAAACATAACCCTTAGCATGTAAAATTTAGTTAGGAAAAGTTCAAGAGATCTAGCATACAACTTGGTGACTGTAGTTCATAACAATTTACTTTATACTTAAAAATTGCTAAGAGAGGAGATTTTAAGTGTTCTCACTATAAAGAAAGTTAAATATATGAGGTAATGCATATGATAATTAGCTCAATTTAGCCATTCCACCATATATACTTAAAATTTTTGAGAAGTTTTTGCTATAGGGCGCGTGCGCTCGCCAGAAAGGCAGAGACAGAGAGATAGAAAGTGAGAAATCACCTCCCCGCGGGGGACGGCCATGCCACAATTCCTTCTCCTTCATTCTCCTCTTGGGATCTTGGGCACACACACGCGCCAGCATGAGTTTAAGCCACCGGGTCTGGGACTTGAACCGCGATCGGCTACATGGGAGTCCAGCGACATAGCCATTAAGCTAACTGCTGGTCCCCATATATACATATTTCAAAGCATCATGTTTTGCACCATAATATAGACAATGTTTGTTTTCCAGTTTAAATAAAATAAGTAAACAAAAAAGGAAATCCTGATTTTGCCTCTGGCCATCAGGATATGTTGTTTCACTTGATATACTCTTATTCTCCATAGCTGTAAATGTAGAGAATTGAATTAGTTAGAGGCTAAAAGTTGGTGGCCTATGAGTTAAACACAAAATACACAATTTTTTTCTTCTTTTATACTAATTGCCTGTCTTTAAAAAATTAGTGTAGGGCCAGCTGAGTTGACCTGGTGGTTAACGCGGCTGGATCATCACATGTGGCTGACTTCATGATTTTAATTCCAGACTGGGTGGCTTGAAAAATATGCTGGGCATGGAGTGGGAGGTGGCAGGGGTGAGTTCTCACTTCCTCTTTCTCTCCATCTTTGGTGAATTCTGTAGCAAAATGTTTAAAAATTAGTATAATAATTAAAACTAAATGAATTTTTGGTTTTGGAAAGTGTGGCAACTCTGTCCCATATTTCTATGTGGTATAAATAAGCACAGACCCAATAGCATCTGCTCCTTTGAAATGGGAATAATAGGCACCACTGTCCCTACCTGGTCCACATCACTTTTTTTTTTTTGGAGAGGTTTTTCTTTGCTATAGGGTGCGTGCGCTCACCAGACAGACAGAGAGAGACAGAGAGACAAAGCGATTCACCCCCCAGGGGGGATGGGCACGCACGAACACGTGCCCGGCGTGAGTTTAAGCTACCGGGTCCAGGACTCGAACCGTGGTTGACTACATGGAAGTCCAGCGACATAGCCATTACGCTAACTGCTGGTCCCCACTTTTTTATTTTTTTATTTTTATTTATTTTTTTGTCATAGGGTGCTTGTGCTCACCAGTGAGATAGAGAGAAGAAAAGTGAGAGATTACTTCCTTGGGGGGGGAGGGGGGAGGAGAGACATGGCAAATCCCCCTCTCTATTTTACTCTTGGGATTTTGGACACGCACACACACATATCTGGAGTGCTTTTCAAGTCACTAGGTCCAGAACTTGAACTGCGTAGTTGGTCATGCAGGATCCAGTGCCTTAACCACTATACTACCTTGTGGCCCTACCTTTGTTTGTTTGTCTTTTTGGGAGGGCATGTGCACTGGGAAAAGACAGAAATGGAGACTACAAAGCAACCCCCTGGGGAATGGTCAAGCTACAATACCATTCCCTCCTTCCCCCCGCCCGCCTCTTTCAAGATTTTGGATGCACAGATGTGCATGTATTTCTGTGTTTCTCAAGCCATCAGGTTCGGCACTCAAAACCTCATGGTTAGGCACTTGGGATCCAGCTGTGCTGCCTTAATCACCGTACTACAGGCTGATCCCCACTTCATTTTTTTCTTACTTACCTGCCTGACTCCTGTAATACCTAAATTTATGACCCCTGGACTGAGTAATTTCTAAGATGTCTTCCAATTCTGTGGCTAAATATGATCCTATAATTCATCACTGAAGAAATTTTTTCCAACAGCTTTCTTGGAGAATGTCACAACTTTTTAAAGCAGTTTATGTCTTTATTGAGTTGCTTGGCTCTTTACAGCACATACGTTAATATTTCATTATAGCTGCATATGAATTATTCCTAAAAGTATAAACTTCTCGAAGGCAGGGACTGTGCTTCTCTCCTTACCAGCCTTACATGGCACCTGTGTTGACAGAAGAATGTTAATTATTACATAGTATTCTCACCTAGTTTGTGACGTACGTATCTTATAAATAGCATTTTTTGATTTCTAAGTTTGTTTTTCTCAAAAAAATTCTAATGTCTGTTGTGAAATTGTTGTGTACACAGATAATGCTGAGATATTATAAAGGGCTGATGAGATCCACATTGAAGTATATTTGTGATACACATGCTTCATGATACTTATAAATTTAGTTTGTTTAGGGATATATAACCATATGCACTTTTTTCTTTTTTTCCCCCCTATATAGTATCGGGAAAATTGCCTGGCAGCAAAAGCACTTTTTGCTGACTTCTCCCTACCAGCTTTATGCCTCCAAACTCAACTGTTGCCGTACCTTGCTCTGCTAACCATTCCAATGAGAAATCAAGGTAACAACATGGTTTTTTCATTTTCCCAGTAAGTGGTGTTTTATTTCAGTATTTTTTTAGTGAAGCAACTCATTGCTACATACTAGTGAGATCATTTTTTTCCTTTTTCTTTCTTTCTTTTTCTTTTTTTTAATCTAGAATTAATTCATGCTTTTTGTTTAAGAAAATAAAACTATACAGAAATACGAAGCCAGAGGTAGTGTAAAAATTAAGATGACTGGATCCCACCTGGCTGACTGTACAGCTTGAGTCCTTGACTTGGCAGCTTCAAAATTGTGCAGGGCACATGTGCATGTGTTTGTTTTTTTGGGGATTTTTTATGCTTTTTTTTTTTTTAATTTCAAGAAAAATAGTTTTCATTGTTTTTTTTTTTTTTCCTGAAACTTTTTAAAATTAATTAATGTACATTCATCCCCTAATCATCGTCACAGCATACAAAAAGTGGTTTCCCATCCAGAATACACTGCATAGTGGCTTAATCATGTATGTTATCATCCATAATTTTCCATTTCTAGTTGTCCATACATATATATTTATATTTATATGTATTTACCTCTATGTCTGACCCTCTGCCCTTTCCTACCCTCTTCTCACACTATCTCTGCTGTCTAGAGCTGTCTTCCATTCCTTTTCCCCCCACATTTTATTGATCCCACAATTTCTTACATAATCTAACTACTTTTCAATAGCAAGTTCAGCTGGTAATTTCAAGAAAAGCAGTTTTGGTAACCACCATCTTCCAGTAATTAACCAAAATGACAAACACAAAGG